GTTGGCGGGACGGGACGGGACCGAATGCCAGAGAGAGCGCGGGACACGGGACGGGACGGGACAGCAAGTCTATAGGGCGGGACGGGACGGGACGAAAAAATCATGGTCCCGCCGGTCTCTGTGACAAAATTAATTTTGATGTGAGACGTGTCGGTTTGTCAGGAGTTTTATCATCTATATATTGTATTTCATAATTGTGTAGATACAATAGGTAACTTGAAACTAAATATATTTCTATGAAATGAACGTGATAAATAGAGGGGGGAAAGTTAGCAAATAAAATAACAATAAAAGGATACTGTTCATAAGATTTTTTAATAAATTTTAGTAAGAGAAATTATGCTGATACAGATACTACGTATAGCATTGCTTTTGTCCATTGGTGAAACGAACATTTACATATATCATACTGAAGATAGTTTATCAGCACAATTTTATGATTGTATTTACCATCAAGATCTTCTCTATTGTCGTCGTCCAACTGAGCCAATCGTATTACAACGAGATAATGATACACAATACTGCTATAATAATGGTAAAGTTCATACATTCAGTTCATTGATGAATAATTCCATCAATGCGAGTTTTATTCGATATAATTGGAATTCTGGAATTGAAAAAATAGAAGATTATATGAATTATGTTACTGATGGGATCGATAATTATATATGTGAATGTACAAATTCACAATCATTTGGAAGACATTGTGAATATATATTACCGTTTGGTAAAACATTCGAAGAAACACTTCAATGGGAATTAGAAAAAAGAAGACAGAATAAAAATGACACGCAGATATATGGTGATATTTTATGCTATACAACAATACTGTGTGATTCAGGTATGTTATGTCTTGACTGGCGAGATATTTGTGATGGTCTTCAACAATGTATGTTTGGTTATGATGAAGAAAATTGTGATAAATTAGAATTTAATGAATGTGAAGATGATGAATATCGATGTGTAAATGGAATGTGTATACCTGATGAATATTTTCTTGATGGTGATTATGATTGTATGGATACAACAGATGAAATTGGTTATAAAGCTGATTTTGATTGTACATTTCAACAAGTTAGCATAGAATGTGATGATCGCACGTGTTTAAGAGATTATTATTCGTGTGGCGATGGACAATGTATTGATAGTCGTTTAGCTTTTCAGGGATCCTCGAAGCTGATGGAAACATGTAGAAGTTATCGTGACCAATATTACATATGCGAAACTCATTACTACGATGAACAATGGACTTTACCCAATGGTAGATGTTATTTAGGCAAAGATTACAGAGAGATTAATATTTTTAATCTAACTAATACTGAATTATGCATCTATTTCGTGAAATGTCTTCTTTCGAATGGTGCAGAAAAGAATTGTATTTCGATGAGCAACGGTCACGACTACAATGAACAACTAAGAAAATATTGTTCATCACCATTTATTCAATATCCTCAAGGTGCGATAATTGGTCCTTATATTCATCATTTTTATAATATCGAACGGCGGTCATGGGAAGAGCGCACAGCTGACTTTATTATAATCAATGGAACTATTAAATGTCGACAATATTTAATCCAAAACTATATAAATATATCCTATTCTACATATGAATCTCTTCTTGAATGGGAAGAATTTATATGTATGTCTCCAGTAATGAATTCTTCTATTCTTGAAGGTGGTTATGATCCGTTTTGTTACAATAACTCTCAAACATTCAAAAATCAATCGTATAATGTCATTGACATATGTAATCGTTCAAAAGAATGTATTTCTGCGTATCGCATAGCAGATGGATTTGATGATTGTATAGATAACATGGATGAAGTTAAAATCAATAGAAATTTAGTTTTAAAAACATGTTTAAAAATGCGTCGACATCGTTTTCAATGTTCTTCTGACCAACCAACATGTTTACCGATTCTTTTTTTCAGTGATAATATAACTGATTGTGAAAATAATTATGATGAATTAATTTCGTTAAAATTGAATTACAATTATAAATCGAATAGGGATAGAGAAATTCTTCAACAATACATTGAAAATTCATGGGAAATTGGCGAAATATCTCAAATTGTAGCAAATCTTTCGTTTCGTTCCTATTGTAACACGTTTTGGGATGTGGAATTGCATATAGATGAAGATCGTAAGATTTGTAAAGATTGGTGGATATGTTCTAAAGATCAATGGCAATGTCATTCAGGCCAATGTATTGATGTTAATTGGGTTCTAGATGGAGAATGGGATTGTTTAGATGCATCAGATGAACAAAAAATTTTCTTTACTAATCATTCATTATCGTCACATAATATCGATCTGATTGATAGTTCTGTTTTGGAAGAAAATTTTCAAATACGTTATTATGAGGAACCATTTTGGAATATTTGCAATTTCAGCACAGAATTTCCATGTTTTCCAATTAATTCTTCTTGTTTATCGAGCTATCCATGTATTAGTCTTGAAAAAGTTGGTGATGGCCATCCTGATTGTTTGGGTGCTGTAGATGAACGAAATACAATAGAATATTGCAATGAGGCATACATGCTTGGATATGATTTTCTATGTCTGTCAACTAAAACTTGCATTGGTTTTTATGAGATTTGTGTCGTCAGGTGTCCTAATATTATTGATGATGAGCGAATGTGCGATAGTCACAGAGATTCTGATGGGTGTGAAAACGATAAGGATTTTCGATGCTGGAACGGAACTTGTATTAAGGATGGACGGTGTAACCAAAAATCAGAGTGTGTATATGGAGAAGATGAATACCATTGTGAAATTCCAAATGTCGAACGTAAAACTATTGAAAGTAACTATCGTAGTCAGAAAAAAAACATTGTTGCAACGACTCCGAAGTATTTGAATCTACCGATGTTTCCTCACGAAACAAAAACATTATCAAACATCAGTATACACAACTCTACAATATCGGAAACTATCAAAAGTATCGATATAGTCAACAATATATCTTCACCTATTGCTTACATATGTAATCGTGGTGTTGGTATTTATACATACAATGATTCAATTGTTTGCTTTTGTCCTGAACAATACTATGGGGATAAATGTCAGTTTTACAATGATCACTTAACTTTAATTCTTGGTTTAGATATCTCAAGTTCCAAATATAAAATGGTTAGAAATTCAAACATGATACTGAAGATACTTGTTTTGTTCTTATATGAGAATGAAATTCTTGCTACTAAAGAATTTCATGTTCGACCAGCTATTGAAATGAATAATCCTAAGAAACAAATCATTCGTTTTCTTTATTCCCGAACGAATATATCGTTGAAAAGAAAACAACAACGATATTTTAATCGAACAAATATTATTAATGAACATCCTTATTCAGTACAAATCGAAGGTTATAAATTAAATCAAAATAAAACTCCATTGTTCATTGGTGTATGGAAATATCCAATCTATTTCGACTACCTTCCATCATTTCGCTTTGTTCAAATTCTTCGTTTCAATAACACCAACAATATATACAATCCATGTTCACGTAATCCATGTGGAGGATATTATCAATGTCATCAACTTCTCAATCAACCGTATAATTACATTTGTTCTTCACCCAATCATAATTCTAATCAAAGTTATTGTTTCGGAAATGCACTTTATCGACAAAATTATCGAAATTCAACAGATGAAACAAAATTATCTACATATTGTATTTGTTCATCGGAACGGTATGGCTATCGATGTGGATTAATATACGATCAATGCAATGAAAATCCTTGTGAAAATAATGGCACTTGTCTTCCTTCAAATAAACCATCTGAATATCATTGCGTATGTAAAAGTTTCTACTATGGAAAACGATGTCAATTATCAAAACAAATTGTTACTTTACATGTCAATGGAACTGTCGAACATAAAGCAATAATTATTCAATATTTTCGATTAGATCGTTTTACATTGAAATTAATTTTAATTTCTCAGCGTATTTACAAACAACTTCCTAGTCAATTGACTGATTTTCAAAATGAAATGAAACCACCTGATATTGTCATAGCTAAACAATATATTGATATAAATCAAGTTAATATTTATATTCTTTCATTACAAATCAATGCTTCATCTCTGAATATTATAGTACAAATGAATGAACTTAATCGTTGTATTAATGTTCGTATGTTATTTCAAAAAGACGAAGAAAATGAAATTCATGTATATAAATATCATTATCTTTGTCGAAAGAATTCCAGTTTATTTTGTTTTTATGATCGTAACTTTGTGTGTATTTGTGATAAAGATCATTATCGTGTAGAATGTTTTAATTATGATCATAATATTGAACACTGTTCATTCTGTTTTTCTGATGGTCAATGTTTAATTGAAAATCGTTTATATAAAGATAATTATCATTGTCTTTGTCCACCATGTCGTTCTGGTCGATTATGTCAATTTATAGATGATGGATTAAGTTTTACTATTCATTCCGCTCTTCTACATGTTTCTTATATTTATCAAATAATTTATTGTCTGATAGTTTTTCTTCTATTTATTTTTGGTGGAATAACTAATTATGCAACATTAATTACATTTAGTCAAGGGAAGTTACGAGAAACAAGTGTTGGTATTTATCTTTTATTCTTTTCAATAATTAGTCAAGTGACATTATGTTCATTAACCTTGAAAAGTTTTCAAATACTGTTCAATTTTTTCACGAATGATATTTTATGTAAAATTATTTCTTATGCACTTTCAACAACTAGTCGTTGTTCATTTTGGTTAATTAGTTGGGTGGCAATTATACGTCTATTTGGTATCTTATTTCCTTTTTCAACTTTATTAAAAAATATCCGTCTTACAATAATTGTAAATTTATTAACGATAATTATCATTGCATCAATGGATATTCATGAATTATTCTTCTATATTAAAGATCCAAGTGGACAATCAGCTTGCATTGTTAGTTATCCATCAATTATTTCAACCTATGAACGTATTTCGGTTATTCTTCATTATACTATTCCATTTTGTATCCAAACCTTATCAATAAGTGGATTGATTATTTTAGCAGCACGTAGTCGTTCTCGTGCAAATAATCATTCTGAAACATTTTTCAAATATCTTCAAAGACAATTTGAAAATCAAAAAGAAATGTATATTGTTCCATTAGTTATTATTATAAGTGGTTTACCACATTCAATTCTTTCATTTAGTTTTTCATGTGTTAATTTATCATTATGGGAAAAACATCTATTACTTATTGCTTATCTTATTGCTTATGCACCGCAAACACTTGGCTTTGTTCTATTTGTTATACCATCTACAAATTATTTAAAAGAATTTCAAAAGACAAATTTATCGAAAATGTTTATTTTTCGATTCATTTTAACAAAATGGAAGAAAAAACATCTAGTATCATCTATCACTTCAAACAACTAAGACATGTCATTGCACAATTTCAAGTACATTCATTTTGTGCTAATCATAATTGTACTTTCATACTTCACCACGAAGTGAATCTACTTTTTGTTTGATGATATCTTAGCTCAAAAAATGACACAATTTTTCACTGATCAATAAAAGTTTAAGCTTTTTTATTGTTGTAGAATATATCTATAACTCGAATAGCTGATGTTATCAAAAATATTTATCGCAAAAAAGGTTTGGTGAAATCGTAATATGTTAGATTGAGATTTTTTCTTAGTCTTAACCAAAGAAGCTCATAAAGAGTATTTTTCTATTTTGAATTATTTTACTATCATCGTCGACAGACACAGTTAATATTAAGACGTTCTCATCTTAAATTTAGAATATAGGAGGTCAAACTATTTTTTTCGAATTACTCGACCGTTATCTTGGTTTTTCGTTTATCGAAGTGTCTTTTTTTATAATATTTGAATTAATTGGCTTTTATTGTCATTATTTCTTTATAAAATACCAAAGACTGTCGACTACTTTCTAGTGAAGATTTAACGATTTCAGTTCGCTTTCCACCGTCACCGAGTGATCGAGCATCGGAAACTTTTTGGGCGACTTTCTCTAATCGATTTTAACCAACAAGATGTTCAAATATATTGTCACTACTTTAGAGTAAACACAAGCTGATCCGGTAACTTTGATTAACTGCTGAAGAGTATTTCGAACGGGAAACAGCAGACTTCAAGTTAAAAGACTTCAGTTTTTCGAATGATTTCTGAAGACTTCAGAAGACCTCAATAGACTCCAAAAGGCTTCGAAAGACTACAAAAAACTTCAATGTACTTTATTAGACTTCAAGAGACTTTTTACATTTCAAAAGACCTCACAGACTTCAAAAGATTTCAAAGAACTTCATGCATGAAGTCGCTGTTATGTTCCCCCTGCATTTTACCGTGTTTTCTGGTGCTTGATTTTGGCGGTATTCTGACTTTTTCTAGCGGGTCCACTAGAGAATGGCTTTTTTTGCATGTGTAACAGAATCATATATATATATGAATACGATATTTTCGTTCATATCCTCGTGAAATCGATGCATCCTTAGAAATTCGAGAGAACTTCATAAGACTTCAGAGATCACAAGAGACTTCATCCACGAAATCTCTGCTGTATCCGCCTTGCTCTAAGAGTATTTGAGATTGCGTCATAGATTTGAAATTGTTTGTTTATTTTTGAGAAATCCATTACGAACTGAACTCCCAAAATATTGAATTTATGCAAAAGTTTATTTGTATATGAGACCAAAACTGATCGAGATTCTCAATGAGGTTTGGTCAATGTTAACTTGTTTACATTTATTTAAAAGCAGAAATTATATTGAAATATCAATAATAGGAGGAAATGCTCAGTGCAGATTTGCGAGTAAGCGTAGAAATGATAGAAGATAAATAAATCGAACGTGGGTTAAATTCTACAAAAACTCTATGAAAATAATTGACTTAATTAAAAATACAAAGACTCTTGCAATATCTTTCACTGTTGATAGAAATCGAAGAATATTAAAAGGAAAATACAATAAAGATACTATATAAATTGCATAATCTTTACAAAATAAAATTTTCGTGAATGGAAAAATTAATCATTGACCATAAATTATTAAAAAGAGACTGAAAAATCCTACAGAACACCTCTGATCATAAACTGATTTACCCAGAATTAATAACGTTCTGTCTCTTATACATCAAACTACGGGTTTTTCATCAACTTGTATGTCTAGTTCCGTTTAAATACAACCAGTCTTCATATTAATAATAGACTTCAGAAGTACAAAGTCATCGATTGCTTTCACAGAGATGTAAACTCACTTTCGTTCTACTATTCTTCTTAGAATTGTTGGTTTGGTTGATTAATGTTTGACGATGGTTCAGCTAAATATAAATCAGTACGTAATAAGTCTACGTTTCAGAAAATATAATACGTACAACGGTAATGGATTTCTTTTGCTGGTCTAAATAAAAGACCTGCACCAATTCCACACCCTATTACTACTAGGCCGATTCCTAAACCGTAACCAATTATTCTGGCACCGTCACCGAGACTTGTAACCCCAACACCAACACTAGTGGCGCCACTACTGACATGTGTAGACCCTGTTGTTATTCCTTGTGCAATACTATCTGCTGCGTTTTTTAATCCATTTTCAATATGCGGAACGGATAAATTAATGTCGAATTTCACTAAATAGAATTAAAAATAATTTAATGTTTTGTTCTCAGATATTTATACACTCAATCATCCGAAGATTGGTGAATTTGGTCAGCGGACTACAGATAATATGAAAGTTTTAACGCTATTAAGAATCTGTTTACCTTGTGAGATTTATTGAGGAGGAAGAAGTAGAAGGTATAGATATACCCTCGCCTTTCGTCAAATGTCTATGCAGTTTAAGAGTGATGTCCGAGAATATTCTCGAAGTCAGATTTTTTCCTACAACTATCTTTAGTTGTAGTTCTAGCCGGAAGATCAGCTTTGATTTAAAGTTCTCTCTGCTTAATTAGCGGATGAAATTTACTGACTACATACCAGATCTCTCATACAACTATCACGATATTAACGCCTCTATTATAAGAAATTAACAAAGGATATAGATATGTTAATCAATCATAAATATATCTTCTTTATTATTATTGATAATACTCACTCTTTATTTGACTATTGAAAAATGTTTTTTTTTATTCAATATGCACCAGATCAATTTGTTTATTGTCTAATTCTGAAAGAATACAACGAAATTTCATTTTTCATGACATTTTATTTAATGTGATCGACGAGTCAGATGGCATAGATGTATGGTAAAAAAAGAACAATACTTTCTATTATATATTTTACTCGTTTTTATGGTCTTTTTATTCAATGGGAAGACAAGTAATGGTTTTTTTTTTACACAGTATAGTGTTTCACAGGAGAAAACCAGTTTATGATTGGAGGCTGTAGGTTGGAAAAAGCCAGTGTCATGGAAACTGTTATTTTCTCATTCTTTTTCCGTCACATGAGAACTTACTGCACAAGGAAATAGTTTGCTGCCCGGGTAAAAAAATCCGATGCTGGATCCGACCATCCGACAAAATCCGATCGGATTCCTGGAAACGAAATTGCATTGGAATCCGACTAGAAAAATCCCGTCGGTTGTTGTAAATTTTACGAGCGATCTTTTTAGCTATGTTCTATGATGACCCTTAGAAAATCCAGGAAATCTATGTTTAGGATCTGATAAAATCCTATATTGAATCCGATGGAATTCGAGTATGGGATTGTTCGACCTGGGTGATAAAAGCTATCAAAGGATAGAGACGTATTCCCGTTCTACATCTTGGTATCTTATCAACGATAGTTTATATAATATATTACTGTTTATTATTACACTAAATGTGCATATAACATTTCTTTCTACACTAATGATAGCAAGAGTAAAGACCAAATACAAAATTAGTAGAGAGAAATCTTAGAAAAACAAAGTTTTTAAAACTGAAAATCGGAAAGTAATTTTTTACGTCAAAAGGTTTTTTGAAACTTGATTGTTATTTTCTCTGTAGGCATACAATTTTGAAATTTATCTTACGTAAGAAATTCTGAGTTATTTTGAAATATAATCCTGAAATATCAAATAACACGTTCAGATCATGTGTTTTGAAATAATTATTATTGACTTTCAATTATATTAGAAAATAAAATATTGGGTAAAACTATCCCAACAAAGTTTAGATTATACAAGAAAATTCTGCATAAGCTATTCAATTGCATCATTGTCTTCAGTATGTAAAGAGTCAGTAAGGTCTTTTCCAATCATGATCAGTTTCGTTCGATACAACGAATACTGTGTAGTCAGAACACTTTTACAAAAAACGAAGCAGTACGGAAAAAATCCATTTTCAGATGGCAATTTATCCGCTAATCGCGTGATCACATTCAACGAAAATTTACAGGTAAACAGTGAATTCAGTTCGTTGTTAAGATGCTAGACGAATACGTTCTTAACCTTCGGATGGTACACCACAGTAACATAAATGTAATTGATGAAAGTGACAGTTTGAAGATATAACAGTGTAGATGGTATCTACACTTGCATCAATTATTCATCTGTTATCAGATTGATGAGATCCAATCGTTTCCAATAATATTCGAACTCCACGGTTGCTTATATCATAGTTCTGAAATGGATGTATTCATCTAATACTATAGATTGAACAAATTCTGTGACAGAAATAAAATAATAATTACTTCTACTCTTACTGCAACTTGAAAGTCTCGTTTATATCCTATGTGTATAATGCAACGATTATCAATGAATTCTTTATTTATTTTACTTTTGATAAATATTTTCCACTTTCTTGACAGGTTTATAATGAATAAGTTAACACTGCTTCTAAAACCTTCTTTTTTCATTTTATTTCAATCTATTTTAATCCATATCAGTGAGTTCCATTTGAAGAACATCAAGCTTGATCAATTCTTGGATACTACAATCATCTTTTTGTTACAATCTGAACAACTGACTTTAATTAAAAAAATTATTACACTGAATATTCTTCGTCATTGTTTTCATATTTAAACATAGATTGAACAGTATTTACTTATGCAATAATTTTTTTCGTTAATCTTCATGGTACTTTGAGCATCACTTTTTATTTATATTTTCATGAACTAAATCAATATGACAATAGTTTTTAACAACAGAAGATCATCACAAATAGTCATGTAATTTCCTCGACTGAAAGCAGGGTCACATGGAAAAAAGTCTGTCTGTTTGTTTGTTTGTTTGTTTGTGTGTGTGTGTCAGGGTCAAAGGCGAAAGGTCAAAAAAACTTTTTTTTGAAAATGCTCAAAACCTCATAAAACATCGTTTGAAAAGGGTGTAGAGGGTCAAGCTTGGTTGGTAGGGGATGCGTGGCGAGGTCAGAAGAACGCTGTAGAAGATGAGTTGCAAGGCACACGAAGCATTCGTTCAAGATAAGGCATAGATCGTTAAAGACAATTCTCTCTCTGACGCAGAAAAGATCAGATAAAATAACTTGGGCACTTGTATGACTTTTCGCTTCACTGATTGCTACAAGAATTAGGCAAAGGTATACAAGTGATTTTCCTGTAACAGTCCATCGAAAAAATCGGTAATGATGGATTATAAATCTGGATCTTATTTTGCTCACCATTTTGTCTGTGCTTCCCTCTTCACTCAAGTGAATATTTTTTCAAACATTTATATGAAAATGTTGTCTAGGAATTTTTATGGGAAGCGTGAAATTCCTGTTATTATAACTATCCATACCAGAGACCGAAACCGAACCGAATATTCGCCAATTCGATTCGGTTCGATTCGACTCAGGCGAACCGAACCGAACACGAACTGATATTTCAGAAAGAGATCGAATCGAATCGAATCGTACGCATTGAAAGATGGTCGAACCGAATCGAACCGACTTGAACTTGCCTTATTCGACTAGTAGTGTCATCTATATTTTTATTCAATATCGAAATGAAATTTACTAAAACGTCAGGATTATATTCAATTGATGGGTAAAAGATAAACATGCGGATTATCTTGTCCTTTGTTGTATTCTTTTGTAATCTGATAGCGCTTTTTCTTCTGATTTCTCACAGACTTTTGCCGATCATTCTATTTGAATAGAACGACGCGAGCGCTAGATCAATATTTCTGTCTTAGCCATGTCTTTATTCAATGATACATCATCATCTTCGTTTCAGCTCTTCAACTTCATCAGTATCTGTCATCGACAAAGCTCAATCTAGCATACCAACTATTCATATCCTTTCATCTCCTGCTCGTCCTGTCAAATCTACTGGATCTGCACCGACCTATACATCAGTCTCGATCAAACGTCTCTTAACACACGAGAAAACCCGTTATCGTGTCGAATGTAACCCCAGCAAACGAGCCACAGCCCCGTGCTGGAAAGTTTTCGGATTTCCTGCCATGTTATCAAATGAAAGTGAAAATCAATTCGAAATCATTCCTGGATTTGCTTCATGTAGAAGCTGCTTCGAAACATACCGTTATATTGACTCAAGTACCGCGAATCTCAATTCGCACGTTTGTCCGCGCATAGTACATCCAAATCAACAAACACTCACCATGAAATCTCAAACTCCTAGATCAACGGCAATGTGCAAGTTATTGGCTCAAAGAAAAAAGGAAATGACAAATCTTTGTGCTCGATGGGTTGCCGATTCAATGAGACCTTTTTCAATTGTTGGTGATTATGGATTGAAAGAGATCATTGATAAATCTGTTGAAATAGGTACGATCTATCTCGCGTCTATTCTCATAGTTTCTTTCCTATTTCAGGACGCAACCTTCGCTCTATTGATACAAATTTTTCTGTCGACGATATTTTACGATGTGATCGAACGGTCAAAAATGAAGTCGATCGCACAGATCGAGTAGAACGGGAACGTTTGAAGGGAGAGCTTGTAGGTGCGGCACAAAGTCGATGTTTATCAATTAGTCCGGATATTTGGACAGATAATCACCGAAAAATCTCATATTTGGGAGCTACAGCGAATTATGTCGATGATAAATATGTCTATCATTCGATAGACATTTTCTGTTCTGAATTCACACATCTGAAAAAGACTGCGAAGCATGTAACTGAGGTAAAAACGAAAAGTTGAGTTATTCCACAGCTATTCTTTTGTTTCAGATGCTTGAAAAACAATTGTCCGTATTCAATCTACATGAAGTGATGGATAAAATTACTTTTGTATCAGATAGAGGTTCCAATTTTGTTAGTGCATTACGTAATTACAATGTCTTGTACTGTGTAGCGCATCGTTTGAATAATATATTGAAACGAACGTTCTATCAAGGGTTGAAAAAGAAGAAAAAGAATATGACACCAATGAAATCATTTACGTTTTCGACAAATATAACACAGAAGGAAGTCACACCCACTAAAATCGAGAAAACTACCTCGACAACGACCATGACTATGCCATCTCCAGATTTTCTCGGCTAGGGAGTTGAAGACGACAACGATGGAGATTCCGAAGATTCAAGCGATGAAGACGATGACGATTCGGTAGATTACACAGTTGAAACAATTGCTCAACTTAATCCTACTGCCAAACAAGTGTTAAATACAATTACTCATTGCAAATCATTGGTAAAATATGCGAAAAAGGTATAGAGTTTTCTACAAGGATATCAGACACCGCCCTTCGAGTTTGTTTTTTAGGCCAATCTCAACAGACAGCTGCAGATGGAACGTGAGAATCAATTGACGGCAGTCGAAGATGACGATGAAGAATCAGAGTCTACCGCGAGTTCAAATAAACAAAATTTTGCCACAACTCTTCATCAATCGTCTATCGTGCGTTGGCTCCTTTCATTTGTCTACTTGAGAGTATTAAAAATGCTTACGCTAGTTTACTTGTTGTTTTACGAAGAGCCAATCAATCGCATCGTATTCATAATATTAATATGGATATTGTCGAAAAGCTGATTGTGTTTCTTGACGCATGGCATGATGTGTTGTGTGAGCTTCAAACGGGCAATTCACCATCTCTCTTTCTTGTTTTACCTTGCATTACCCATCTTCGACAAAAGCTACAAATTGGCATGAAACGAGAGAAAGGAGGTAGCTCCAAAAGAATGATCATTTTTCCTAAGAAAATGGCTCTCACATTTTTTAGGGATACGCTTTTTTTACAAACGCGCTTACGAGCTTCTCAACAATATGTTTATCATTGAAAACGACTATGTGGTAGCCACATTCCTGCATCCAAACTACAGACAATTGAGAGGTGCCACTCCAACGCAAGTCTCGGATTGTTTTCAAACATGTCGTGCAGCTATATTACCGGTCGATAGATCAGAAGATATGGAAGTTGATGAAGGCCGTATGGACATCGATATCTGTAATGAGCCACGTTCGAAACGAAGAAAATTACTCATGACATCCCTGATGGACAAGAATACTATAAATAAAAAACGTTCATCAGACGAGGTAGATCAATATAGTAAACTGCAGTTGGATATGGATTGTGTTTACACTGATCCGCTCGATTTCTGGAAACAACCACAATATCATCGCGCATTTCCCAACTTGGCGCGATTGGCAAAACAATACTTTTCGATTCCATGTAGTTCTGCAGCAGTAGAGCGTCAATTTAGCGCGGCAGGACAAATTGTTAATCAAAGACGTTCTAATTTAGATCCTTCAACGGTGAATAATATTATTTTTCTTCGATCGATAGAGAAAAGAAAGCGCGACACGTAGTTTTTTTGTATTGATCCTCCATTGTTCTGGCTTTTTGTGTCTATCTGCGCTCAATTTGTTATACTAATATGAGTTTGTGCAGATTCCATAGGGGATCATTTCCTTTTTCGTAACTCAATTCACATTCACTATTATCCATAGAATCTCATAATAAAAAAGTTGATTTTTTTATTAATGTTGATATTTTCTCGACAAATGGAAAAACCGAATTGATCCGAATTGAACCGAATCAATTTCTCAAAAAATCGCCCGAATCGAATCGAACCGAATCAGAAAACAAAAAATAAGGTCGAATCGAACCGAGCCGAATCATAGAGGAGGATGAGGAAAAACGAATCGAACCGGGCCAATTCGAAACTGATTCGGGACGGATCGAACCGAACTCTATTTTTCCGGTTCGTTTCGACCTCTGCTCCACCTTCAATCGCAGACATGTCCGAACACCAATGGTATAATATATTTAACATACCTCACTCCGCTGAAGATATTCTTCAACATCATTATCGAAATTAACTTCATATTCATCCAAATATTGTTTAGCTTCTTTATCATCATTTGTATTCTGACAGAAAAAAGCAAAAAACATTGCCAAACATATAATCTATAATCAGAGTATGTGTTAGATAATCGAATTAGAAAAAAAGAAGTGCATATAATACTTTAATTGGTTGAGTTAGAAGAATAGATGAGAAAAATCCACTTAAAACTGATGTTAACCATTGTTTTGTTTTCAAATCACCAAATTCAATTCCTCGAGCTATTATAAATAGAATCGACATACCCACCAATATTATACAAAGACCATATGCAAGAAATAAACACCACCATGGAAATAAAAATCTTTCTGATCTCTTTTTCTTTTCGTTTTCACTAGAAAATAAAAAGATTCGTACAGAAATTACTTTTTTCAATTTGACAAACATTTCTAAATGTGATTTCATTTTATATAAAGCTTGATGTAATGGTGAACTTTGTTGTTGACGACATCGAATACGTCGAAAGAATTGAACGAGTAAAAGGCTTGGAATTATTGATAATAATTCAACAATCACACCAATTAAAATCTTCAACATACATTAAAATAGAGAAGATAAACATATGAAAATCTACCTGTTGAGGAGCTATGTGAAGAGGACCAATAGATAAGCTATTCGTGTTATTTGTGGATTGAGATTCATTTGAGAGATCATAATACATTATATTCAAAAACATCGAAAGAAATAATAATACAAAACAACAAGTGCATCGTTGGACACATGTAAATTTATTTGATGATGGACGAGAAAATATTGAAAACCAAAGATGACTGTCCGATATATTATGATAGGCTTTTTTCGATAATACATAAGAAAACTGATTCTTTTCTATTTCACTAGCTACTGGCAAAAGACGCTCAATCTATGTTCAAGAAAATAATACATTGTAAAGAGATTGATGAAAATCAGTTTTCTTACTTTTCCATCATCTTTTTCTACTGCTAACCATCGTTGACAAATAAAATGAAATTTTTCCATTGTTTGTAAATCACGAACTATTAAATATTTCAAAAACCATGATGATGATGAACCACCTCCTGTATTATCATGCCAAATATGAATATAATTCAACAATCCCAATGATCTGAAAATAGTTTCTTCTAATATAGAAATATTTCTAATGAGATTTTACTTTGGAACAGCCATAATAAATGAATCAATTCCACCGCGTTGAAAAATCTCTCGATGGGGATCAACAAATGTTCGAATATGTGTTGTGTCATCATCACCAGACAACACAAACTGGACCTGATTAAAAGATTTCTATATTTACATATTCTGTTTACTACTTTACTTTTGATTTCGTTTCAGCATCTTTTCGTTGACCGGTAAAAACAATAATTTGATAAAAATATTGATCTGATTTATGATTATCAAGTAATGATGTTACTCCTAATTTTTCAAGATCTTTTTTGTCTTTCAAACGTGCATAAATCAATGAAATAATGTAAGTTAATGATATACAGATAATAGTCAAATAAACAGTTTTATTCTTTTGAAAATCAGCATTTGCAAAAACATAATTCCAGTTGATTGGAGCCGGTAAAATACGAAATCCACCAGCAACTTCTGACAAACGGGTTGAAAAACATTGAGTTTCATCATAATTTGTCGATGGTCCGACCTTCATCAAATATAAAACATCCTTCGTACGATAGAAACAAAACTTACCAATAATCCATCGGATTTCCATTGATTATTTTCATCAAGATAATAACAACCTGATG